TGTATGGTGATAAGAGTTGTCTGAGCCCTTAATAAAATGATAAAAAAACATAATGCACACACATCAATGATCTACTCCAGATTTTGTTTATAATTTTTTCTTCAGTATAACTGGTTGGTTTTGAATATTTAATATGTTGATGTAAAACAAAAATGTGTTAAGGTGAGTGTTTTTTACAGGAGAGATGAGATTCTAATCTGGATCTTTTCACAGAGGTGTATGTTAATTCCTCCAGCTTTTGAGATGATTAAGGAATGGCAACCAAGTTCTCAGTGGTTCTCAACCTTCCTAATGCCGCAACCCTTTAGTACAGTTTCTCATGTTGTGGTGACTTCCCAACCATAAAATTATTTTTGTTGCTACTTCCAAACTCATATTGCTACTGTTATGAATCGGGCGACCCCTGTGAAAGGGTCATTTGACCCCCAAAGCGGTCTCGACCCACAGGTTGAGAACCGCTGTTCTAACATTTTTCTCCCTGTGGTCAAAGCTGTCTGCTCTGTTATCAGAATCTACACATCTGGGCAGTTGGTATCCACAAACAACACGGAGCAGTATATAATTGAGACATTCAGACTCAGTTTGCTGAATGAAGCACTGAAATGAGTGTCTCAGTCAAGCGCCCTACAGGACTGAGGAGGCCTTGGTGTGAATGCATGTCTTCATTCTAAGCCCCTTTCTGGAAACACATGGGGCATGCACATACAAGTGGATAATAAAAGTGCATAATCAATATCACTAAATTATAGATACAGAAACTGTTTAATTGGTTTTGCTTCAATGTTTTATGTGTTGCTGTGTATATTCTCAATAATAACAAAATGAAGTATGTGTATATGTGTGTATACATATATATGTGTGTGTATTGAGAGTATGGAGTAAAAGTCAAGGTTTTTATTTTTAAAGTCAAGGTTTTAATTTATTCTCTCCATGCAATAAGTATTAATAATAGAGAAATTATATTCTTCTCAAAGCACTTGAAAATTCATTGAAAACATATCCATAAAAATGTTAACGAGAAAAAAGAAAAAACAAAAACCATTTTCAAACAGCCTAGGCATTTGAAATTATACACTGCTCTGTGCTGTTTGTGGATACCAACTGCACAGATTTCCAGGAAAAGCTATAGCCACATTTAGTTTGCCTACATTCTGGGTTTTTGTCACATGCCCCTGTGAGCAAGCTGGCCATTCAGCACAGTTCATTGGGCTGCTGGGATGAACCCAGTAGTGTAGAATCTGATACATGTACAGAGCAGTCAGCTTTGACCATAGGGAGTATAAGCCACAGTCCCTAAGCTCATTTTCTCAATATTCTGGATGTCATCTACAATTTCAAGATGCAAACTATGAAAACAAAGATTTTAAGAAAACGTTTTCTCCAGAACTGCCTAAAACACCTTATCTTTTGCTGTTCTACCTCCATGAATTTCTGACGCACGACCATCACAAACAGTGAGATTGATCCAATGTGGATCCACAGCTTTCACAGCCCCGTTTACAGAAGCAGATGTCTAGAACTTTCTTCTCAGTCCATGCAAGTCAGGGAGCTTAGCATCATGCAAACCTCCAACAATAGTTGGGTGGTGGTTGTGTTTGTGGTGTCTGGGCTGGGAATCAAATAATTCTACCACTGAACCTATTTTCAATCCACACGGTTACGTGGCTAGAGATCCTACCAATCACAGCTAAAATATTTCAATAAAAACACTGGTCCTTCTGGAGGGGTAAGCAGTCACCACCCGCCCACAGCTGGGGGGCATCCCTCCAAAAGCCCAGGGAGTCCAGGACATTTGCACCCTCACCAGTGGGTTTCAGGCAATGCTAGACCTGACTGGGGAACTGGGAGCTAAAAGATAGCTCTGAAAATGACACTCGGGAAGTGCTGTTTATTTCAAAAATGTTTGGGACACCTGGCTCTCATCCAAGTGAGGAGGAACAACTCTTCCTTTTGTCCCTTCCTTCCGACCTGCACCGGGACTCGGAACTCAGGCTCCTTGGGTTCTGTGGTTAATTATAACCTTCCTTGGTTGCACCTGACCTTCACTCACCTTCAAACATCATTTCTGTAGAAAAGGAAATTCTATTCAATTAAGTATTTAATTAGGTTTGTGAGCATTGCCCATGCTAGACTGGAGAAAGGTGGCTGGTTTTGGAACCAAGAACCATTCACCTAGTGAAGGTACCATGTGGGGCAGCAATGTGTAATGACAAAACTGCTAAGGCTATGCCTCCCCACGCCACCCCTCACCAGATACAGGGTCTCCTTAGTCTATCACACCATGTTTCAAATCACACACTCCTAACCTACATGCTTATGCTAAATCTTATGTAAATAACAAACAAAGGAGACGAGCCAGTCAGGGTACAGTACAGCACCGATGAAACATACAACTTTCCTCTAGTTCTTTAATGCTTTCTTTCTCCCAATATCATGACCCCAATTCTACCTTACAAATCTGGCTAGACCAGAACATGTACACAGGTACAGATAAGAGCTGGAAACACAGGGAATCCAGGGCAGATAAATTCCTCAGGACCAATATTGAGAGTAGCCATACCAGAAGGGGAAGGGGAAGGTTGGAGTGATAGGGGGCACAATGACCTACCTATAAAGTGGGTGATGGGAGATGTCAGTCAGTGTAAGACATGAAAAAATAATAATTTATAAATTATAAAGAGTTTATGAGGGAAGAAAAATTTTTTAAAAAGCTCATGAGGGAGGGAGGGTGGGGAACGGAGGGGGGAAAATGAGAAGCTGATACCAAGGGCTCAAGTATAAATGTTTTGAAAATGATGATGGCAACATATGTACAAATGTGCTTGACACGATGGATGGATGGATGGATGGATGGATGGATGGATGGATGGATGGATGGATGGTGATGAGTCATACAAGCCCCGAATAAAATTATTTAAAAAAACAACAACATAAACACACAGATTCTCTGAAAAGCGTGAGCTTCTGGATTCAAGTGCAGAGGTGCCAGGACCTTTAACAAGGAGCTCAGAATCACTGCCCTCCAGACTCTCGTGACTGGTAACAGCATGAGTGTGGAGACTGCGGGTGGGTTGGTCCTGTGACCTCTGCACCGTCTTCTCAGCTCTAATCGGAAACTCCAGGTGACATCTAGAAGGAAAATGCCAATTCTATAAGCATTTGTGGGGGCTATGAATTTGGCTAAGAACTCTAGTATATTCTGTAATTTAAAATAAGTGGGGGAAATGAGAAAAGATTGTTTTGGTTTTTTTAAATCTCAATATCTAACTATGAAAAAATTACATCTTTTCTCTACCAAATAATGGGATGACTTCATCCCTTAAAGTATGTATATGTATGTGTATATATAGTATACATATATATCATATAGACTCGTGTATAATCTGAGTTTTTCAGCACATTTTAAATGCCGTTTTGTGGTAAAATTAGGTGCCTCGGCTGACACTGGGGTCAGTTTATACTTGAGTATATATGGCATACTTTTAAAAATTTCAACTGCTGATAAAGCACAGAAAGCGGATGGTTTTTAATCGTGAGATTTATATGTTTATATTCCAAACACATAAAATCAAGAGTCAACAACAATTCAAAATGAGAACTTTTACCTTCCAACAAGACACGTGTCCAGAAGAGGCCAATGAAAGCCTGATCCCTGAAGACGAGGGTTCTCCCCATGCTGCACCACACACACTTGGGTCAGAGAAGGTGCAGCTTATCTAATCGTTATAGCTATTAAGCAGATATTAAGCCCGGTATCACAAACTTTAGTCATTTAGAAAATTCAAGTTTCTCACTGGGATGTGGGGGTGAATCATGGGACTTACATTAGCATAAAAGGGGCAGTTCATAAAATGAAGCCTCATCAAAAAGCCAGGTGACCTCCCTCTGGAAAACACCAGCAGCCCGAGCACCTGAACTTCCTGTGGCAAGTAGTTTCTAAGTAACCTTAAAACTGATTTCACAAAGACTCAGCCCAGTTCACTCTTCCCCCTTGGAGCCTTTATAGTCAATGAGTACCGACATACTCTGTAATGCTAAATGAAAACTTCAAAATTAAATAGCTCTACTCACATTCAATGTCCTTTCCATTAGTCCTCAAGAATTCTGGGTAAGTACTTTTTACTCACAAACTCAAAAGGCACACAGAACATGGTAACATTTTAAAGGTGACAGTAAAAATCTCATAACGTTAAAACTAAAATCAATCTGATTATGACCCACAGATTTTGGAAAATTTCATTTTATTGTCTTGTTGATTTGGTCCTCAAGTTCACAAAACGGGTTTTTTTTTAAGCTTTACTAAACATAAAAAAACAACAAACATTTGCTGTAGGCGATTTTTAAAGGAAGAAGTTCCAAAGGTGTAGTTAATATTACATTGTCCATAAATACCTGTCCCCCACTCCCCTAAAATGGAGACCTCAGGAACTGATAATAATTTATATAACATGTTCTATTTAATGTCCTATAACAAGGTAGAAAACTCTAGATTAAAAACAACAATCTTCATCTTCCCCACATGTCAAGCTTATTATCTTTTTATTGCATTTACAGAAAAGGAAAAAAGAGACTGCACTATCACTTTTCTCTATCATCAAAAAAAATGGGGGGGGGCTAATACAAGAAAAAATGTAAAATTGTTAATGTTTTTAATTCTTCAACTATTGCACTTAGAGGGAAAGAAAATGTGAAACCAAATATATTGCTTTAAATCTAGACTTAAAAAAAAACAGCAGCTAAAGCATCAACTTCTTCATTTCCCATCAACAGTTAGTTTCTGGTTAAATAATACGAAAGAGAAAAAGATAATAGTGTGCCAAGAATGAAGGAAGGTCTAGCGGTCAGAGACATCTATCAGTCCAACACAGCAGTTCAGTATGAAGTCAACCACTTTCTCATTTTCCACAGGGATAAAAGCAGTAGCCCGCCCCAGTCCCCTCTCAGTTCTACCTAGACTAGGAAATGAGCACAGCAAAGGGCACATTGGCAGGGCGACTCACCAAGATACCAGAAGAGGCCTTTCCACGGTAAAAACCTGGGGCTGTCGTCAATGAGTCTTCATAAACCTCTTCCTCCTCTGCACTAGCATCTTCTAAGTGTAACATCTTAAAAGTGAACTAGCCTCTCCAGCATGTTTTCTCTGGGGACGAAGGCACACTGGTAAACCATCAGAACTGAAAGCTGCTCTGTGGACAAACCCAATGCAGACTTTGCAGACTCGGTGACATGGTTAAAACTGAAAGGAAATGGCTCTTAAAAAAGCAACACATCCACCACATTACCAATAAGATTTGCTCGGTGTGCCTCAACCCCTTTCCTCTGAAGGAGATAAGAGGGCACAGGGCAGACTCCCTGCATGTGTGCACTGATAGGTACCGAGGCCTCCCAATCACATGACAGCCACTGAAGCGTCCCCGACTAGGGCAGGGATTGGGTTAATGATTCCCTAAACCAACTACATATGACTTTTCAGAAATGAAAACACCCAAACACATGGGAGAGTAATCATATAAACTAATTACATAAGGGAAATTATTTACATGCATTTCTGAGCACCCACGAACTCCTAAACACAGCCAGTCAGGTCATATATGGTTTATAGAACCTGCCCAATCATTAATATTTTTACCCCAAATATTTTCACAATTCTGGAGGGGAGGTATCCTGTCCAGTCCGGCACTGTAAACAATGAACAAATTTTATCTGACTCAAAGAGTAGCAGCAATATAACATGACAATATTCAAACATTCTTGGTATTTCCTTGCCAATTCTCAGAAGTCAGTACATAGTAACTTGTTATCCCCCTTCCTCCAAAAACCTACAATATAAATACAGTGGGCAAAACATAGACTTCTGGGAAAATGCTATTTTGCCCAAGCCAGTCTCTAAGGCTGTGCTCAATGCAAACAGCCATTAGCCACAAACAAGAGTTTAAATATTTCAAATGTGACTTGGACAAACTGATGTGTCCTTATGTGTAAACTACACAGGGAACTCAAAAACACAATGAAATGGAATGGTAAATAAGCTATTAAAAATTACTCAGATAATATGTTGACATATCATGCATGTACTGAATTAAATAAAATACATTATTACAATCAGTTTAACCTGTTTATACCTTTTAAATATGGGTACTAGATAATTTTAATTACATATAGAGGCCACATTATATTTCTTCTGGACAGCACCGCTTTACAGCCCTGGAAATGATACCGAGAACAGGGGTGTGTGTGTGTGTGTGGGGGG